CAGAGAGCTGCTCATGAACATCAACAAAAAGGAAATAAATAAAAATGTCCATAGAATAGAAACAATGTATATATAGCACAGGCTATGGATACTTTCTGCATTATTAAAATGTTTAATAGCCTTGCCAACTGCAACTCTGCAATTTTCATCATGTGTTTGCTCCTTCCTCTGAATTATATCAAATTCCATCCACATCTATGTAGATAATTACTGCACATCCAAGAATCCCAGGTTTTGTTGACAAAACTTTTCATGTAAGACGTGAGAGAACGGGATAAACATAAACATCCGAGAAAAATACGCATACAAACAGACAACCTGGGAAATAGGGTGTAGGACACAAAGATGGGGTGCCCAACACCAATAGGATACTGGTGTATGCATATCATCCTTGCTGGAAAATTGTGAAAATTACAATAATAGATCACAAAACTGTAACTGAGATTCAAAAACTAAAGAAGGTAAGATTTTCCTTTGAAACAAAAGAATATTACTTATAAAGATTTGGAGCCATCGACTCCTCTAAAACTGACTGTGAACAAGTGTAGCAAATTTTCTGATAATGCATTCATAATATCACAATTAATATATTGTTATAACCATTGTTAACAAATGGCTGGAGTAGACTGACCAAGCAGTTTCAACCCAAGAGCTAATCATATGATCCAGAAAAACAAGATAAATGCTAACAATAAAAAAAAAAAAATCTCATTCAACAGTGATTCAATGAAAATTATATGCAAAGGCACCTTATAAATCATGTCTAATCTATCAGCTGGCAAAAACACTTGAATCAATGCACAAGAAGTCGCTATAGCAAAAACACATGAATCAATGCACAACAAGTCGATCTAGATGGCTTGTAGCCAAAATCCTTAAGCCTAACTAATTCTTCTAATGCCACATGCCACAACCCATATTTGCAATATTTGCCAATCAATAAATTAAGCAACTTTTAAGCAGTTAATTACCATCATTCCTAACTTCCAACAAAAATTTCTCTGGAATACGATCATTATGGAGAGTCCACATAAGAGGGGCCACAGAAGCAGCAGCAACAACCACTTGCTCCATCTACAAATCCTTTCAAAAGACCATTACTGAGGCTCCTAATAACCATTTTCTGCTCACTTTGTTACCTACTTGGCTCTTACAGCAACCATTCCAATGTCACCCTCCCTCAGCAGCAAGACTATAACTTACCTCACTGTTCACAACTAAATTTCACTACCCACAACCACTTTTCACCTCTTACTAACTTTGAACCACTCCACAAACTCCCTCTCCCTCAAGAACCCACAAAAAACTTAAGCTTTTGCCATGCTACTTTCGCCTACTTACCCTGCCATGACCCATATAGAGAAAGAAGGTTCAGTGTTCTAAAATTCTCTCAGGGAAAGGCATTGCCCTGAAAATGATGAGAAAGTTAGGTGCTTGATACCAAGGCCTAATGGTTGGTTCCATGGCCTCACAATTAGAACGAATTTTTGTATCTTTTCCAAAATTAAAATTAATGTTTCTGAAAGAAGAGAAGAGGACAAACATTTTAGGTGTCAAAAACTTGTTTATGTTAATTAAATCTGATAATCAAATGTAATTGTTTGAGCATAGTATGGCTCTGGCTACTTACAAATTACGGTGCTTCTTTGTTTGTTGTTAAATATGTCAATTAATTAGCTTATCTGATAATTGAATAGAACTGGAATTGAGCATACATTAACACAGCTCTAGCTCCTATTGAACTATTGTGCTTATATACATAACTTATATGTTCATATGCCTTTTTATTCAAGTAAAGGGAAATTTGCATCTCTTTCACTATTTTTTCACATTGGTTACAGATGTATTGTAGATTGCCGTCTCTAACTTTTTTTCTCTTTCTTCACTACTTTAGTTTCCTTCTGTTTTTCTCTCGTGATATTCTTTGTTGCATTAATGTTGATTCAAGAGAAAGATAAAAAGTTTACGTCCTCATCTGATATGTAAAAGAAATCATGGCAATAAAATTGGTACTCTAACAATCGTGAGTGCTTAATCACTCGGAAATGGGGCACAATGGGCATTCATATCAGTAATAAAGTGCCTATGTTAGAGTTAAGCCCATCATTTGTGGTTCAAACCATCCCTTAGGTAATCAAACATCATTTTTGAAAGCATAGCACAAATTTCATCGAGAACTAAGCATCATACTAATGACGGAAAATGAGAAATAGGTTGCATCAAGAACTCACCATTCTAAGAACATGCTGTATTCCAGCAGCACCAAAGGAATGTCCACAAGGTAATATCATCGCATCATCAATAAGATGCTCCCCTGAATTTTTAAAAAAGTAAAGCAAACAAATGGTAGAAACATCACTCCAACTTTCCTTTTTTCTTTCTTTCTATAAGTAGAACAATTCCTTGATAAGTAGTGACTAAACATCAATGGACCAGTTAAAAATATATCCAAATGATCTCAGATAAAAGAAAGCACGTTCCTCCACAGTCATACTTGCTTCCTAGCCTTGCAGCATAGCAGACATAACTTGCTGCAGTAACTTATACTGCTAATATAAACTTTCCAGCACCTCATAATCTCAGCTAAAGCTCACTATCCAGGAACTCGTAAAATACACATCTATATGAACTAGCAGTTAACATTACAAATGAATACATAAAACCAAATCATCATTAACCAAATAGAATATCACTACCCTACTGAAAATATCATCAAATTCAACATCAGATAATAGAAATCAAACAGAAGCACTGATTATTCCGTCAAAATTAAAATTACTTACTTGACAGGGTCGGATAAAATGGCACGCAAGGACTCACCGGACTCACTCAAAAACGAAACATCTTCCCTCCCACTAAACCCACATTCACCACCACCACCACCATTCTCCACCACGATATCCTTCTGCCCATTACCACCAGACCCTCCTCCGCCTTGCAAATACTGTGTGTAATAAATATCCCCATCTGGATCCGCAATCGTCACCGCGTTCTGACAACTATTCCTCTCGCTCACCCCTTGCCCTACACCACTCCCTCCTTCCTTCACCACCAATTCTCTGCAGCTCCCTCCCACTTTCCAACAATAATTGTAAAAATAAATAAATAAACAAAAATTTCCCTTTTTTATATACAAATGAAGAAACTTTCTAAAAGACAGAAACAAATTAAAAATAACAGAATAACAGAAATAACAGAATTTCCACTTGCTGCATTATTTACATTCTCATTTCCACTATTATTTTTATTATTGTGGTTATTTATATTTATATCATTATTGTGGTTATTGTTATTTTCGTCACCATCTCCTCCGTCGTCGTCATCATCGTCCTCGTCTTCCTCGTCGTCCACATCGTCTACGTCAGATTCGTCGTCGCCACTGTTGGTGGAGCCAGCTCAGGCGCTGCTCCCCCAATTCCGATGGTTATGATTGGACCGGTCTCGGCGGTCTGTGGAGGTGGCGACGGAGTAGATATTGGAGGAGCGAAATTCGGGGGGTTGCGAGGGAGGGAAGGAGAACATCTTTTCGTCAATGAACCCCGTTTCTCGGGTTTTTTGTCCGGGTCGGGCCGTAGCGGCGGGTCCACAATTAAAGGCCCGTATTGGGTCGTCTTGGAAGACGTTGAGCCCGTTGTGCAGGGTGATTTCCTCGGAGGACATGGTAATTAAGGGAAATTTCGCATCTTTTTAGGGATAAAATAGGTAATTTGAAGAATCGAATTAAGGGACTTCCCAAAGAGCGGAGCAGCAGGGTTTTAGATGTTTCTTCACATTTCACATTTTGGGGGAAGGAGAAGGGAGAGCAGAATCCAATCAGAACAAAACGACGTCACTTCATCATACATTTTAATAAACAAAAAAGATATAATATAAATTTATCATTTGAAATTTATCCCTAATCTTTCAATTATTATGATTTTATCAATTATAATTTTAATTTTAGATCAAATTTATCACTTTTATTTTTAGTTTTAAAACAAATTTAATTAAAAAGTAACCATTGAGAAATACACAGAAAATTTCATTAGCAACTGTTTATAATTAAAAAAATCTAAAAAACTAACTCGACATTTCACATTATTTTTAAATTAAAATTATTATGATAAAAAGAAAGATTTTAACTTAATGATTGTTTTGTGGCATAGTTTTAAATTATTTTTTAACTAAAAACAAAAAAAATTTTATTAAATATATTTTAAAAATTAAAATATAATGAAAATTTTATTTTAAAATTATAAATATAATGAATAAAATTACAAAAATTTAATAATTAATGTAAATTTGAATCACTAGCATAACTACCATGGTAATTTTGTGCCTTATCTCAAAACCAATATCAAATTCATGAAAAATTAAAATTGATAATCAATTACAAACCCCTTAACATTTTCTAAATCTTTTCAATTTAAAACGGTGTCATTTTGAAATTCATTGGCTTGGTCTGATTATGTCTCTTTCAAGGGTGACGAAGGCTCATAAATCGGATTTAATTCAAAATTTTTAAATAATATTTAGTATTTTAAATTTTTAAATTTTGATTTAAATTTAAATTTAAATTAATTTTTTAAAAAAAATTTAAAATTTTAATTCGATTCGATTTATTAATTTTAAATTTTTTTTATTTTTTATATATTATTTTAATAAAAATTTTAATATATTTAAATAAATTTATATATAGTAATATTTTTATTTTATAAAAATTTAAAATATATTTAAATTAATAAAAATATATAATTTAATTTTTTAATTTTTTTTATTTTTTTATATTTTAATTTAAAGTCTCATCCAAACTTAATATATATATTTAATATTTAAATTTGATTAAATAAAAAAATTAAATCGAATCAAATTAAATATTATGATTTTAAATATATTTTTGATTCCTATGAAACGATGTCGTATAAATATCCAGAACCTCAATTCAGGGGTGGAAGAAGGAATTTAGTAAAAACATTTCTAAGGTTCTGCCACGTCGGAAAAGAAATGAATCTGCAAAAGACAAAAGTCAACGGAAAAGCCGATGGAGATTTCAAAGAAACATGGACGAAGAAGACGAAGTCAGAGCTTTGGCTTGACTAAGAAAAAAGGAACAAAATGGAAATTCTTGTAATTGGAGACTTAATATTATTATAATTATTGTTATTAATATCAAAGGCGAGAGGTTTAGGGCTTACAAAAGATCGAAGAAAAAAAATGGATTCAAAAAAATTTGTTTCGATCTCTTTTTTCTTCTTTTCTTTTCTTTTACTCTTCCATGAATCTGTCGCTCGAACTGTGGATGGTGGACCTCCCATGGTATTTTGTAATTATGTTTGCTTTATTTTATTTTTATTATTTCGAAAATAATTAATTTTTTTGCGGCTTTTAGTCTTCTCCGTCACCGTCACCGGCGCCTGGGCCTGGTGAAGAGGGATGTTGGTTTCAGTCGGCGAGTTGCCGTAACGAAAGCTTAATGGCATGCATTGATCCTTCGTCAATTGGTACGCTATAATGCAATAATATCAATTTTTAACATAACAGTTCTATATTTAAGGTAAAACCATAACTATTGTTCTCCAAAAAGTTGGAAGCTTTGATTTTCTCGAGGATTGCTATGCTTTCTTAGAAAAATTTTGTTATTTTCAAAATTGGGTATTGGGGATTGGAAACAATTAAATGGAAATAATGAATTTTTAGCTATAACTCATGTGATTTATTAGTAATATATAAAATTTTTTATTTAATTCAGTTAGTTCACTTAAAAAAATCAGCAAATTTAATATTTTTATTTTTATTTTTATGATTTTTTTATTCTCAAATTACAATCTACTTTATATAAAAAAAAAATCAGGTTCAATCTTTAGCTCCACCAATGCTAACAACTGAAAAACAATAATGAATTTTACAAAAGTTGGCACCAACTCTTGAACTTGTCAGCCCTAGCAATGACATATAGAAATCATCACTCTTTAATTTGGCAATGGATTGCTTAGTGAGAATATTTTCTTCAATTTAATGATGTGATGGGAAATTTTTGAAGAATCAGTTTTCAGTATATTTAAGTTTCATTGTGGAAATGCTAAAGCAATTTTTCTATTTTTGTGTAGCTTCAAAGGAATTATTATTTGTCAAGAATGATGGTGAGAGACTCCTAAATGTGACTATCTCATATGCTAAGCATATCATCCAGAAGATTCCAATACCAGGACACCAAATTAAAGAGGTTTGATTTTAATGGAATGAATGATTTAGATGCAAAAGCAAGTTTAAAACATAACCATTGAGTCATTGGCTTTTGGTTTGAACCTTTGTTTCAGTCAGTCATAGTGCTGGTTGTTTGTTTCAGGTTAATATCTCAGCAAATCTTGGTGGAAATTCAGTCATACAATTAGATGCTGGAAATTTGGAGTGTGTAATTCGCATAGGATCACCAGCATTAGGTGGCAGCATCTTCAATTATTTCCCTTTTGCCACACAAATAACCCCCATCAATGGAGCCTACCTACTGTTTCTAACAGGTCTGATCGTCTGGAGTACTTGGGCGTGCTACAAGCATGGTAAAAGAGGACGGCAGGGTGATGGAATCCCATATCAGGAGCTGGAAATGGGGCAACCTGATTCACCTTCACCTCACAATGTGGAAACAGCTGAAGGTTGGGAACAAGATTGGGATGGCAACTGGGATGAGATAAAGTCAAAGACAGCTAAGGGCCTTACTTCCAGGCCTCCCAAGAGAGATGATCGGGAAAATACTTGGGATGACTAGGATGAGAGTTATGAGATAATAGTTTCTTCCATTGCCTCGCAAATTAAAAAAGGAAGTGTTGTAGAACGAAAATTATATATAAAGTAACGCCAATGATGGTTACCGTCAGGCAGATTTGTTTTACTTGTTCTGTTGTTCAACAGCAAACGAGCTCCCATAGCCCAAAGATGCAAACTTCAAGATGTCTGTTGTCAACAAGTTTCACACTCTTATCACATTAGAGGATGCAGCTTTTGATGGAAAGTTCATGAACAAGAATTGGGGTCTATAAAAAAAAAGTAGGAAAATAAAAGAAAATAAAAGAAAACCTCATGTATTAATGAGGATATCAAGTGAAAACCACAGACCATAAACATCTTAATCTTAATCCTCTTTACACAACATGTCAAACTTAATTTATAAACTAGGTTGCAATTGCATTTCACAGTTAAGTAGTGTCCAGGCAGTGCCAACGAAATACCATACATGGCTGGCTAGATTGCCTTCCCTGCAATGAGTGGTTTAGGTGGGGACAATGATCTAATTTCAGGTGCAGAACTGGGAAAAAGTATATTCAGCTTGTGCATGAGGATGTCAGCTCTTGATGGAATCTCATTCAAGAGGAACTGTTGAACAATTGGCTTTTTGAACCACGCCATCACAGTGTCGCCAGGGGCCCTTAAAACGACCTTACTAACTTCAAATGGGGATTCTACAGAGCTCAGCATCTGTGCAACCACAATCTTCAAAGTAGGTCCTGTAACCAATTTGATGCGCCTAGGAATAACTCCATAATACAACATTCGCTTCCTAAATCTGTGGAGAGTGTGCACCACAGCTATAAGAGCTGCTCCCACTGACAAGTTTCTAACATCAAGAGACCAAGCAACATTTTGATCAAAAACGATTGCCTTTGGGAAAAGCTTATTCTCATAAGCAACTTTCCAAACACAGCGAGCCCTGTTTATCTGCCCCATGAGAACAAGGTAATTGAGGAGAACATTGACAAAGTACCTTGCAGCCCCCTCTTCCAACTCATAATCAATACCTTGAAAAAATTCCCTGACAAATGATAAGACTGGTTGTTTTCTCTGTTCTGGGCCAGTAAAGAGTCCACACATAAAAGCATGAGCTTTGTGTTTTGTAGCACCAAGGATCGCCATCAAAAGTCTTTCATTGAGCTCTTCGTGGCATCGAACCAGGTAGGCAAGAATTGATGTGTAAAGAACTAGATCCACCTTTGCAGCAGAATTCACATAGGTTTCAAGGAGAGGCTTTGCTGACTCGTATAAACCACTCTTCATGCATGATTCAAACAACTGCCTAACTATGAAATTATTTGTTCTAATCCCTGATGACCCCATGAACCTTAACCACCTCAAGGCAAGCTCAATGGAACCATCTTTAACATAAACCATTAGAAGATCACTAGCACTCACATCAACAGAATATCCCATTGACTTCATTTCAAGTAATATCTTTGCTGCAACATCCACGAGTTTCTTATTAGCCAAGAGTGTTAAAAGAGCAGTATACGTGCTCAATCCAGGCCTCAAACCTGCATTAATCATTGAGTTATAAAGCTTCATTGCAGAATCTACCTGTCCAGAGGCTGCATGCATTTCCAAGAGACATGAGTAGGTGGATGGTGTTGGTAGAAATCCAGTTTTCTCCATGTCTTTAAAAAGGGCTGTTGCATGATCAAGCTTTCCTGATTTCGCATGAGACTCAATGATCATTGTATATAAACCAAAATTTGGTCTAAAACCAGCCTTCTTCATTTCATCCCAAAGCTTAAGAGCAGTATCTAGCTTCCCAGCCTTTGTATATGACTCAATCAAAGAAACAAACATAGTAGCAGATGGCCGAAGCCCAGAGCCCTGCATTTCCATGTAGACTTTCATTGATGTGTCCAGTCTTCCAGCTTTCCCCATTGAATCAACAAGTGATGCAAAGATATTAAAGCTTGGTTGAAACTTCCTTTCTTTCATCTCTTGAAAGAGCTTAAATGCTGCATCAAGACGGCCTGATTTCGCCAAGCTAGGTATCATCAACTCATAGGTGGATCCGTCCAAGAAACATCCTGCCGCTTGCATGCTCTCGTATATCTCAAATGCCTTGTAAGGCAAACTTTTATTCAAAAATAACATCATAAGAGCATTGTATGTTTGTGTATCTATTACACAACCATAATCCTGAGCCTTCTTGAAACAACAAAATGACACCTCCAATTTCTCAGCTTTAGCCAAATACTGAATCACCCAATTATGTGCATTAAACAAAGAAACCCCCTTATCACTAGACTCTTGAACCATCTCCTCAAACAATGACTGAATCGCATCAAAATCTCTCCTTTGATTTAATCCATCAAACAATATGCCATAACACTCATCACTCGGAACATACCAAGATCGTCTCTTAGCCCATCTAAACAAACTCAATGATTCATCACTATCTTTGACAACTTTCATGGCTTGAGTCACATGAGTCATATTAGGCATAAACTGTAGTTTATCCAATTGGGTCTCTAATTCTGGTCCCCATTTCCACCTCTTAACAACCTCAACAATCTTAGCAACTGCTGAGGCATTCAAAAATGGCTTCTTTAACCCACCCACCATAACATGATCATCAACCCCCGGCTCAACAGACCGAACACCTTTACCAGAGTATACAACACTCCCCGATTCATCTAAGTACTCTATATCCTCAGTCCACTCACCAGAACAGTAAGTTCTGATAAAACTAGGGTTTCTAACAAAATTGGGGGTTTTAGAAACAGAAGAAAAGGGGGAAATTTGATTGATACCCATTGATGAGTAGAAGAAACTAAAGCTATCGGAGCACTTATTGAGTGCACTCCGGCTAGAATTCCGGTTTCTCGAAGAGCTAGTGCTAGAGTTAGGGTTTAGTTTGAGAGTGAAGTAGAGATTTCTAGGGCAAAATTTACGATTTAAACGATGAAGCATTGCAATTATTAGGGGAAAATATTAGGATTTAGTTGATGTAGAAATGCTTACCAGATAGTTTTGTCTTGAAGTATTGTGCTTTGTTAATCTCCTCGAGGTCAAAACCCTTTCAAGACCTAAACCCTACTAAATTGGAAATGCAGAAGAGATTTCTTTTAAATTTTAAAATTGATCAGGAGCGTTTCGTTGACTTTTAAATTTCAAGAGAGAAAGTAATATTTAAAAAAAAATGTGTGATTTTTAAATTTTATTAATTTTAATAAACATAATATTTTTATATTTGATTATAGAAATATAAAATTATTTAATAAATTTTTTTAATATATTTTATTTAATGATACGTGAAAAATATATGATATTTATAATATGTAATATATGAATAACCTGTGAATAAATAAATAATTTATATAAAAATTTATTTATTTAAATATAAATTGTTTATTTAATATTTTTATTAAATTATTTAAGTAAAATTATTTTAAATTTTATTGGACAAATAATATATGTAATAATAAATTTTATATGTAATAATAAAATATTATCATAATATAAACTTTTTTCATATTTTTAGCAAAGATTATATTTTTAAATTTACAAGCATCATCTTTTTTTAAATTAAAAATTTCTAAAAAATAATTTTTTTCATATTTTCAACCAAAAATGATATTTTTATCTTAAAAACATTGTTTTTTATTAAATTTTAAAAAATAAATTTTTTTCATATTTTCAATCAAAATTATATTTTTGTCTTAAAAAGTTGTCTTTAATAAATTTTTAAAATTAAATAAAAGCAGTATATAAAATTATTACGTTTTCAATGTAAATAACTTTGTCTATATAATCTAAAAATATAATTGAAGATAAACTTTTTTTAAAATCTAAAAAAAATCAAGGAAAGGAGTTTTTTATTCACTTACTTTTCTCTTTTTTAACACTATTATATTAAAATAGATTATCTAAGTTCTTGACAAAATAAAAATTTTAATATTAAAATAAAAATTTTATTTCTTTAATTATCAATTTGACAATATATATATATATATATATAACACGTGATCCATTTTAGTATTTATGCCATCTTGAAATACTGTGAAAGAACAGAAAATTTAGAAGAAGGCATGAGGCAAGTCACCCAATTGAACCAGCTTCAAGGTCTACCAAATTTGGTCTTTAAAACTCAGTCTAATGCTTTAGGTTAGTTCGGTCGAGTAATAATTAGTGTCGTCGTATCGTGTAAAATATTATATTTATATAATATTTTATATAAATTATAAAAATTATATATTATAATTTATATTAATATAAAATTATAAAATATAAAATTTTAATTTTATTAAAATTATTTATAATTTTTTTAAAATTATGAATCATATTATTTTCATATGATATTATTATATCACATTTCAAATTGTTCGATTTACTTTAGGCCTTTGTTCCAACTTTGCCCAAACTCCAATATTTCATCCTGGAGACTAAAAAGAAAGGAAATGCAAGGGCAAGGCTGAATTGAACATAGCATTAATAATATGCACTGCCCCTCCACACACCAACCCAACATCATTAACTCAAAAGCTTCCACTGCTATGTGCTTGGAAAAAGTTGAGTCTGCTATCATTTTGCCCCTTAATAAAGCAAAGAAGTAAGGATGGATATTCATTTCCTAATAAACAAACCCCCCACTGATGATGTCTTCATGAGTTTTCAAAAGGAAAAAAAAAAAATTTGATTCAATTTGGAAAGCAAACAAAGTTTGATCAATCAATGATAACATGGTGGGTGAAGAAATGAAGATTATTAATATTGTAAAGACATGGGTAACAAATACTATGATTGAGAGCTTTCAAATAATTAAAAAATAATTTATTAATTTAATTTATTAAAATTCATTTTGTTTTTATAAAAAAATTTTGAATTTAAATTCTGTCAATTATCATTTATTAAAATTATTTTAGATTTGAATATTGTTAATTATCATTTATTGAAATTATTTCAAATATATGATTTGTAGTCAATTATTTTAATATATTTTATTTTGATTTAAAAAATTAAAAAAATTTATCTATTTTAAATTTAAAAAAAAAACATATTCCACTATCTTTAACTGAAATTTGAGATTATATTAAGATATGAGAGCCCCATGTGCTCAGTTGATTGTGACAATTCCAATCAGTTAGGCTCTCTTGGGCCCAACAACATTTTTCAAGTATTGAACTTTTGGCTGACTGCCCTAGGCACCTAGGGACACAACTCATTGCTTTGTAACTAAGCACATGGTTATGGACATTTATATTCTTTTACTCCCCACCCCTCCAACTCCTAGAAGAAGCGACTAGTTTCTCTGCCCCAAAGTACTATGTTCTTGTTTCTCATAACAAGAAACCATGTGTGATGGTAAACTACAAAAATGCTTTAATAAAGGCATCACTAACTCTTTTACTTCTTTAATGCTACTTTTCACTTTTTCCAGTGTTTGCTATCTGTTCTTCATTATTCTGTTCAGCACTATAGACAAATTGGCCTCAGAGTGGGTGCTAAGAATCTTTGATAGTCTTAAATCTCTTAAGACACTTTTGACTTGTAAAATTTTGTATTTTAATGACTTTCACCTTTGCTATCATTGAAACCACATGACTTTGGTTTGTGGAACAACCATTTTTTATCCAGTCATGAAAACCCAGATTTGCCCTTGACCATGTTCCGGTGAATATAGGATGAAATTTCGGCTACATGGTTTTCAAACACATTTGTCACACCTTTGTCTCAAAATAATTGGACATAACACATTATATCAGAGAACCTAATGCTGCTATTATAGATGATTATAAGAAAGGAAACAATGCCAATGAACAAAAAATTGCAAAAGACTGCAGATTAGTAACTGGGAAACAATATCCAAAGGGGTTCCATAATGGAACCCGGTGAAAAGGAATCCGGTAACTTAACTATAACATACTGAAGAAATCACAGAGGTAAACTGGAAAGTCATAAAGTGAAGAAACAATACAACAGAAGGGAATAAAAGATTCCAACAAACAAATATTTCTTCTCGTTGATCAAATGAACATACCGGATTCTTCTTCGCCGGACAACCCCTTATAAATCTTTTAATTTCTTAAAAGTATTAGTTAAACTCATCCCAAATCCTCTTGACCTTCTGAGGGGCATCTGATCAATTCCAATATATTAACTACCTCTCCCATATCTGGCCGATTTGATGGTACTTGTGACGTGCAGATTAAGCCTAGTTTCATCACTGGAATTGCCTCCTCAGCCGGGAATTTTCCTTGCAGCCTACCATCGACACATTCTTCCACCCTGCCTTCTTCCAAAGCTCCTCGGACCATGTCACATAGCACCACCACATCATCTTCCATGTACTCAACAGGCCTCTTCCCTGTAACCACTTCCAAAACCAAAACGCCAAATCCATACACATCACATTTCTCAGTTATTTTCACTGTTCGGCAGGCAAACTCAGGTGCCATGTAGCCAAGTGCACTCTGAATTTTGCTGCTTAAAACATAGCGGTCTAGCATAGGCAACAACCTTGCTAGGCCAAAATCTCCCACTTTAGGTTCGCCTGAGCCATCAATGAGGACATTGCTTGACTTTATATTGTAGTGAATAATGTTTGATTGGTGCAAGTGAGCCAAGCTTTTTGCTGTCCCTAGAATGATACTGAACCTGTCACTCCAAGAAAGATAATTTCCACCAGATCCTTCATGGAGATGTTTGTACAGACTTCCACCAGACACAAATTCAGAAATGAGAAGTTGCAGTGATGGAGTCCAGTAATAGCCCTCAAGTGCAACAAGATTAGGATGCCTTATTTTCCCTAGTTTCTTAACTTCCCTTTCAAATTCTTCTTGTGACTTGACAAGACTTGAGACAGTGAGCTTCTTGATTGCCACTGAGCGCCCATCTTGCAGAACTGTTCGGTACACTGCTCCAAACCCACCACGCCCAAGCTCACAGTCCTTGTTGAGCAGAGCATGTGCTCCTGTGCTAAAGTCCGGCTCACCAGAAAACATGACAAGTTTGCCGGAATTGGCATCTGTAGTAGGGGAATGGCTAAAGTCATCCCCAGCAGATAAAGTGATGGCTGCTGCAGGCCGGGAGGTTGATGACCTGACACGGAGATTAAGGACAGTGATGGCAATGACTCCAACAACAATGACAGCAGCTGCACCAATAGCAATGAGGGCAGAGATACTGAGAATTATCCTTTTATGAACAACATTTGTAGGTAATTCACCAGAAATGGAATCAGAAGATGAGTTAGGGTTTAGGACAATGGGTTTAGGAAGAACTTCAGGGCAAGATCTGTTAACTGCAGAGCCACAAAGTGAGGGGTTTCCAGAGACAGCCGTAGGTGATATGGTGTTAAAGAATCCACCAGCCGGCAGTTCTCCTTGTAAATTGTTGTGGGAAATGTTGAAGGATAAGAGGTGGGGAAGATTGGCCAACTGCTTGGGTAGGGTTCCTCCAAGATTGTTAAAAGACAAGTCCACATTTTGTAGGTTGGTCAGTTTTCCAATTTCAGTAGGTATTGGGCCACTCAGGTTGTTTTGAGATATGATCCTACACAATTCAACAACAAAAGAAAACAAAAAAGACAGTTAGTTGATGTACTACCTGCTTTCAGCAGCATAAAGTTTGTAAGTAAAATTGACGCCTGAATATTGAATAATGAAGCATCATGACAAGAAACTTAGACATTTTCTTGTTTCTAGATTTTGAGGTAAATATGTTTCTGAAGCCCTGATCTCAAGGAATTCAAACTTATCTAGTTCTTAAGTAGAGTCAAACTCTGCAATCACAAATATGAACACTCCAAAAGGAAAAAAGAGCCTGCAGATAACATCCAGCAACAAAATTTTTGTATGGATGTGTCATTTAGAAAATGTATCTGCACATTAAGTTTATCATCTCAGCAAAAGCTTTCAACATGTTTTCCACATCAAACATCAACATAATACCAATGCAACAGAAATCCAGAGAACAATGGAGGTTTCAAATTTAAAGTAATTATGTTAATGAAACATATTCCGGAACTCATACAACCTTTGAGCAAATACATCAAATTTCACCCACCAAAAGCTCATCTTAGCCTTGCAGGTAAATTTGATGATTATATATCAAGATATCAAGGAACTATTTGACTACAATAACATGCTCCAAGCATTAGATAAAC